GTCAGCGAGGTGGGCTAGGCTCCCAGGAGTGAGGCAGCTGGGAGGGAGCGGGGTCCCAGGCAGAGTCAGGCCCGGGGACAGGCTGGCACTTTCACCTGGTGCTGGAGGAGGAGGCATTAGCAAGAGGAGGGCAGATGGCGAGCCCCGTGTCCTGCCATCTCATCCTGTCACACCTCTCCCGGGGCAGAGGAGGCAGGAGAGGGAGCTGGAATTGTGTCGCTGGAATGTGTTACCAACACCAGCCAGGGCTCTGGGAGTGGCTGCTCGCATCATTGATGATCGTGACGAGGCCCAGGGTGACCCACAGCTCTGAGGATTAGGTGCTGAGGGAAGCTCCAGGGCAGGGAAAGAAAGAGGAAGACAAGATTTTGGAAGCAACGAGAAGGGGACAAATAATGTTTTGCCAGAAAGAGTACATTTACGGGTGAATATAAAAGACCGAAAACGCAGTGTGTTTTTACAATCCATGTAGACATAAAATGTATGACCACAGTGACAAAGGACCGGAGGGTGCAAATACAGGAGAACCTCAGTTCTAGAACTCAATTCATTCCGGAAGACTGTTCAGGAAGTGATTTGTTTAAAAACCCAATCAGTTTTTCTCATTAGAAATCATGTAAATTGAGTTAATCTGTTCCAGACCCCCAAACGAGTCCCTGTTTTAACCTTTCTCAATTGCCCTGATCACTGTTCCATGAGCACTTACATCCCTTAGCAACATCAGCGCTCTCCATGCTTTAAATTGTGCTGATCGCCAGTTTGGCCAGGCCACGCTCAGTAGCCAGATCGGACATGCGAACACCTCTATCACACTTTGCAAGTATTTTTTAAATCTCTATTGTTGCTCTCACAACTTTATTTTCACTTTGCTTCTTAGGACTTACGGTGACTTACTGTATGTATTTAATAATAAGCAACAAGAAAAGCAAAAATAAAACGAAAATATTCACAGCACAGTTTCCTGAGATGTTAACAACGTGAGGTTTAGCTGCGAACTGACTCATGCTTCGCATTCTCTCCTTTGTCTGTGCCTGAGACGCGTGGCTGCTCATACAGGTACTGGCATGAGTGGGCGGTCGGGGCGAGAACCAACGTTTTTTCGACAACCGAGACATTTTTCCGTGAACAACTTGGTAGAGAACTGAACTGTTCGAGAAACCGAGGTTTGACTGTATACTGTTGTAAGGTTCTTACATTATACATGAAGTAGTATGATATAATTTGAAGATAGACCATGATAAGTTAAACCCGTCAAACAGATAGCAACGATTTGGGGGTGGTGAACACAATACATTGTTCAAGATATACTATAGAATTGTACACTGAAATCTATATAATTTTATTAACCAATGTCACCACAATAAATTCAATTAAAAAAATTTTAAAACCCCATACAGCAACCACTAAAAAAGGTAAACCAATGAAGTATAGCTAAATAAGTAAGTGTTGGAGATAAAATGGAATCCTAAAATTTTTTTAATGAATCCAAAAGAAGGCAGAAAAATAAAAAAGAATAAAGAGAGATGGTATAATTAAAAAAATTTTAAGATGTTAGACACACTCAATCATACTGATAATGACTAAATATATGCTGTCTATAAGAAACACTTTAAATATAAAGACACAGATAGACGGTACCTACTGGTTTATGTGTAAAACGATGGAGAGCACAGACCACGCTATCACTAATATCAAAGAAGGTGGAGTGGTTCTATTAATATCAGACAAGGCAGACTTCCAGACAGGACTATTACTAGGGATAAAGAGGGACATTTCATAATAATAAAGGGTCAAGACGGCCCTGGGCAGGTAGCTCAGTTGGTTACAGCATTGTCCCAATACACCAAGGTTATGGGTTCAATTCCCAGTCATTGGTTGACCAATGAATGCATTCATAGATGGAATGACAGTTAATGTTTCTCTCTCTCCCCCACCCCCCTTTCCTCTATCTCTAAAATCAATTAAAAAAAAAAAACAACCTACTTCACAGGGTTGTTGTGAGGAAAAAATCAGGGCCAGCCCGAGTGGCTCAGTTGATTAAGGATCATCCCATGCACCAAACGGCTGCCGGTTCAATTCCCAGTCAGGGCACATCCCTGGGTTACAGGTTTGATCCCCAGTCGGGGAGCGGAAGGAAGGCAATCAATCGATGTTTCTCTCTCCCATCTCTCCCTTAAACATATAAATAAATAAATAAATAATTTTCAAAAGGTAATGCAGTGAGGCACCTAAAACAGTGCCTAGCACAGAGCAAATTATATAATGCAGCAATTATTATTCCAGCTATGTAACTATATGTGCACTGAAAAGACGTCACAGAAATACATTAAAATAATTATAGTTATGAATGGATGATTAGCTCTAAGAGTTTTTTTATTAGTTCCTTTTTTGTACACCTCTGCAGTTTTCAAATTTTCTACAATGAACATGTATAACATTGTTATCAGTTAAAAAAGTTAACTATTAAAAGGAAGTTGAAGATATTTAGTCCTTTTAACACGTTTATTTTAATATAGAAAAATAAAATTTAAAAACAATGAAGATACAAACCCAAAAGAACTGAAAAAGGTGCTCAAATAACTGTCTGCACATAAACGCTCACAGCAACACTGGTCCCAAAGGCCAAAAGGCAGAAACGACCCAAATGTCCATCAACAGACGAATGGAGAGACAAGATGTGGCCGGTCCCTGCAATGGAATAGTATGCGGCCATAAAAAGGAATGAGGCACTGACATGCTACAACACACATGAACCTTGAAAATGCTAACTGAAGGAAACCAGTCACGAAAGTCCACGTTTGGTATGATTCTATTTACATAAAATGTACAAAACAGACAAATCCATAGAGACAGAAGCTGACTAGTGGTTGCCAGGAGTTAGGGGAAGGATAAGGGGAAGAGACTGCTTACTAGGTACAGGGTCTCCTTTGGTGGTGATAAAAATGGCCTGCAACTAGGTAGAGGAAAACAGTTCATTGTATGTTGTGTGAATTTCATCTTAGTTAAAAAATTAAGGATATGGCCCTAGCTGGCTTGGCTCAGTGGATAGAGCGTCAGCCTTCGGACTGAAGGGTCCCAGGTTCAATTCTGGTCAAGGGCACATGCCTGGGTTGTGGGCTTGATCCCCAGTAGGGGACATGCAGGAGGCAGCCAATCAATGATTCTCTCTCATCATTGATGTTTCTATCTCTCTTTCCCACTCCCTTCCTCTCTGAAATCAATCTATATATATAAAAGCCTAAGCAACTGTTTGACCAGTAGCAATGGCGCGCACTGACCACCAGTGGGCAGATGCTCAACACACAGGCATGGAAACATGGAACAGAGGCAAAGATTAACCAAAGATCTCATATGCAGTCTAGCAGCCCGGTGCACAGATTCATGCACTGGTGGGGTCCCTCAGCCTGGCCTGTGGGGATTGGGCTGAAACTGGCAGTCCAACATTTCCCGAGGGGTCCCAGATTGCGAGAGGGCGCAGGCCAGGCTGAAGGACGCATCCAGTGCACAAATTTGTGCACCGGGCCTCTAGTAAAGATATTAAAAAGAAAAAATTAAGGATACATATATCATATGCATGTTCTATGTTTTAAATAGAAAAGGTACACAATTAACAATAGTTACCCCTGATGAGGAAGGAAGGACTTTCATTTCTGTCCCGTTGTCTTTCCTTCTTAAACTGAGCATGTATATTCATTGACATAAAGACTTTAACAAAAGTAAATAATATCAGATACAAAATGACACGTAAAGGTTTCTAGGAAAGCCCTAGCCGGTTTGGCTCAGTGGATAGAGCATTGGCCTCAGGACTGAAGGCTCCCAGGTTCAATTCCTGTCCAGGGCACATGCCCAGGTTGTGGGCTCGATCCCCATTGGGGGGCTGTGCAGGAGGCAGCCAATCAGTGATTCTCTCTCATCACTGATGTTTCTATTTCCCCCTCCCTTCCTCTCTGAAATCAATAAAAATATATATATTTTTAAAAAGTCTCTAGGAAAGAAAAACAAGGCTTGAGGCTATACTGTGGCAGATGTGTAGTCCTAGAAATGAGGAAAACTAGGACCCCAGATATTCACCAGAAAGGGCAAGAATAAGCATGTCAAACTCACAGCCCGTATGCAACCCACAACAAATATTTTTGCGGCCACCCAATATAACGATATGTAAGAAACATCTTAAGCCCTGACCGGTTTGGCTCAGTGGATAGAGGGTCGGCCTGCAGACTGAAAGGTCCCAGGTTCGATTCCAGTCAAGAGCACGCACCTTGGCTGCGGGCACATCACCAGTAGGAGGTGTGTAGGAGGCAGCTGATCACTCTCTATCCCTCTCCCTTCCTCTCTGTAAAAAATCAATAAAACACATTTTTTTTTAAAGAAACATCTTAATAAAAATTTCATAACTTAATTTTTACAATATCCTGGTATACATAATCCTATATAATAAAAGCCTAATATGCAAATCGACCAAACTGCAGAACAACCAGTGGAACAACCAGTCGCTATGATGCGCACTGACCACTAAGGGGCAGATGCTCAACGCAGGAGCTGCCCCCAGCCCGTAGGCTGGCCAAGGCAGGTGCCAGCAGGGGCCCTGATCGCCCTACCAGTTGCCCCACAGATCAGCCCTGATCGCTGGCCAGGCCTAGGGACCCTACCCATGCATGAATCTCATGCATTGGGCCTCTAGTTATTAATAACAAACTACAACATTCACTAATGACTGATTACTATAATCATGTTGCATTCATTTCCCTTACGCGCCTTATGTGCAGGCACACCATTTCTCTCCACTAATACTAGCAGCAAATATTTTAGCTGCCAATTGCGACATCATTAGTCTTGGACTGACTTGTTTGGTGTGTGCAACAGGAAATATTTCGCTTTTGGAGAACAAGAAAAATAGGTTTATTTGTGTTACGCTTATTAATTTGTGCAGTTAATTCAGTGTTTGGTAAGTTAATGTTCAAGAAAAAATATTAACTTTTATTAAAGTATTCTATTATTGTATGTTAACTCATTTACTTCAGCCCTTTGGATTCAGTATGTCTCTAGCAAAATAAACCTACGTTTCTATGAAAATTGAAGCTTTTGTTTTTTTGCGGCCACAGAAACTTAAGCCTTGTGTATTTGGCCCGTTGGCCTTTGAGTTTGACATGCTTGGGCTAGAAAAGAAAAGCACAGGCCTGCTCTGCTATTAAATGTCCTGGGCAAGTGCTTTCTCCTCAGAGGGTTTTAGTTTGTCCATCTGAAAAACGGGCGAGTAGAAACCACTAAGTGATTTATAAATGTTTTTATATATTTTATTTTCAGATTTTTGTTGTTGTTAATCCTCACCTGAGGATATTTTTGCCATTGATATTTACAGAGAGTGGAAGAGAGGGAGGGAGGAGGAGAAGGAGCAAGAGCAAGAGAAACATCAATATGAGAGACACACTTTGATTGGTTGCCTCCTGCACATGCCACAACTTGGGTTGAACCTGCCACCCAGGTACGTGCCCGAATTGAACCCACAACCATTTGGTGCATGGGCCAACGCTCTGACCACTGAGAAATGTGGGCCAGGGCTATTTTCAGGTTTTTAAAAACCCACAAAACCCCTTTTGCAATTGTAATCTTCAATGGAAACCCAATATATAAACAGATAAAAATGAACAGTGCTGATGGAGGTGATGACTGGAGACACCCCCACACCTGAACCGTGGGAGCAGGTGACATCCTAAAGCTCCTCCAAGCTCTGGAAGTGGGGGGAGAGGGGCCTAAGAAAGCCCGAATCAGACCAGAACCACAGAGAAGGGAGTGGTGACTGATCACTCCCGACAGAACATTCGGAGGAGCGGGGAGAAGGGGAAGGGCAGAGCTGGGTGAAGCCCCAGCCAGCGACACCACAAGGAGCTGCTACCAGCCAGGCCATCGACAGCCAGTGGCCAGGCAGCCGAGGGTCCCGGGGGCAGGTGGACTGTGACAGCCCGGCCCCCAGCGCTGTGGAGGTCAGGCAGGTAACAGCTGTCCCCGGTCCGTGTCCTGCTGCTCTGGGAGCACAAACAGGATGTTTGGAGCGGATTACCAGAAGTGACCACAGGAAGCCATGACACCGCCTCCAGGTAGCACTCCTCCCCCCTCGCTTCCGGGGCGGCTCCCAGCAGACCAGGCGAAAGAGACCTCAAGTGCCGACTTCCCAAGAGCGGGAAGGGCAGGAATTCACGGGAAGCTCAGGACACAGCGGAAGAGGCCACCTGAGGTAACGAGGCCACCGGCCATCCCAGCAGCTACCTCACCCCAAGATGCAGCCAGGAGACTGCACGACCGGCCACTCGTGAGCCCGGGCGGTCCCCAGGACAGTGCAGTCCCCAGGCGCCGCGGCCACTCCCTCACATCCGCCTCAGGAGCCACCGCCCCACTGTCCTGGAGCTCACCGTGATGAGAAAGCACCCAGAGGGCCGGCCAAGCTGGGTCCATGGGGAAATGACAGATACAGAGGACAGCAAGGGCAGGGACGCACCCATTTCCACCGAAGGAAGAGGAACGGTCCTGGAAACAGAGCAAGGAAAAGCCTGGCCAGGACTCTCAAAGCCACTTCAAACCCCCAACGGGGCCAGGGCTGGCCCAACAGATGGACTGCTGCCTGGCCAGTATGGCTCAGTGGTTGAGCACCGACCTATGAACCATGAGGTCACAGCTCAATTCCCAGCCAGAGTTGCAGGCTTGGCCCCACGAGGCAGCTGAACAATGAGTCTCTCTCGTTATGGATGTTTCTCTCTCTCTCTCTCTCCCTCTCCCTTCCTCTCTGGAATCAATAAAAATATATTTTAAAAACAAAAAAAAAAATTGACTGCCCCTAGAAGGGTACAGAGGTGGCAGAGCAGCCCATCACTGGGCGGCTTCTTGCTAATGGCTGTGCCCGCTCAACTGACAAAACCACAGTTCATGGTCTAGAAAACCATCCCTCCCTTTTTCTGCTGCTACCAGGAGCCTTGCTGGCCCAGGCCCACCCTGTGAGCTTCAGAGATGTCACGGAGCAGCCTGCACAGCCTCCTGGACCCCAGGAGGCCTGAGGGTTCTGGGAGAAGCCGAGGCTGCACTGGACGCAGGTCCTGGAGTGGCTTCTGCGGCAGCTCTACTGTTAGTCTTAGGTGAGCGACTACTATAAACCAAGCCACCAAGCCACCTCCTCCCCCAGCCGCTTCCTCCTCAAAGCCACCAAAGAGGCTCCGGGGAAATGGCCAATGAATACGCCCAGCCCTGGGGTACCACCGCATCCCCTGCAAACCAGAGGCCCAACGCCCTACCCCACAGGCCAGGAGGGGTCCCAAATCACACCGGAAGATAACCAAGGTCAGATGCCTCCCCTGGGCCCAGCTGAACGGCCAACCAGGTTCATCTGCATTAAATGCCCACCACCAAGGCCACCGCAAACATAAGCAGCAGGTCTGTGAAGTGGAGAGGTGACAGAAAACCACGGCCCACAGCAATTTCCAGATTACTCCAAGGATGAACCATGATAACCGTTACCCTTGACCGAGCACTTTGAAGCATTTCAGGAAATGCACCTGCTTACAGATCAGGGGCCTGAGTCCCAGGTGTGAGATCCGCCGAGGTCACAGCCGGCAAGGGGCAGACAGCATCGATCCAGGCCCAAGAGTGGCCGATAGCGGGGCCTGTGGTCTGTCCGGGCCCCCAGCTGCCTCCCCAACTGCCTGGAAGCAGAGCGTTTCTCGGTCAGGCTTCCCGGTGGAGGAAGTGGTTGGCCGGAGGTTAGGCATCACAGTTCATGCCCATTTCATCATCAGCCACCATCCAGCATTCATTAAGCAACTGCAGAGAGAACCGAGCCGTCCTTGATGGTCAGAGACACCGGAAAGGCAGGTAAGAGCCCTGTCTGCAAGGGGCTTACAGGGCTGGGGAGAGACGAAAGGCAAGAAGCCTGATTGATAAAATCTGGGAAGTTTTACCAGAGTGGGAGGGCCAAGAGGTTGCGGGTTTTAACCGGAACAAGTCTTCTGCAGAAGGAGGCTGCAGCTGAGATCCCAACGGTGGAGGGTGAGGGGAGTTGGACTGGGCGGAGGCTACTGTCCGCGACGTGGACAAAAACCCAGACTCCGGGCAGAGGCAAGCGCCTGGAGCAGTTGGAATCCAATCTAACTCAGAGGACACAGCGCAAGAACTCCCAGACCCACAACTGTGTCTTTGCTGTAATACAGGACGGAAAGAGAGCATCCGAGAACCCCCGATCAGGGCCAGGTGGGAATGTGCTCCGGGGAGCTGGGCCTCTGCTGGCGACAGAGAGCCCAGGTGAGGGCTGGGCCTCAGTTCCTCCAGGTGCTGCCACAAAGACAGGCGACTGGTGGGGCCAACTCTGACTTTCCTAAAGAAACGACATAGGGATTGGGTAGGTGTGAGCTCCTGATGCTTTAAATGTTAATGAATAACTTGGAATTTTTTTTAATAGATTTTATTGATTTTTTACAGAGAGGAAGGGAGAGAGAGAGAGAGCTAGAAACCTTGATGAGAGAGAAACATCGATCAGCCGCCTCCTGCACATCTCCCACCAGGGATGTGCCCGCAACCCAGGCACATGCCCCCGACCGGAATCGAACCCAGGCCCCCTGAGTCCGCAGGCCGACGCTCCATCCACTGAGCCAAACCGGTTCTGGCTGGAATTTTTTTAAAATATATTTTTATTGACTTCAGAGGGGAAGGGAGAGGGAGAGGGAGAGAGAGAGAGACATCAATGATGAGAAAGAATCATTGATCGGCTGCCTCCTGCACCCCCCCCCCGCGTGGATCGGGCCTGCATGTGCCCTGACTGGGCATCGAACCCTGACTTCCTGGTTCATAGGTTTATGCTCAACCACTGAGCCTCGCCGGCCTGACAAGTTAAAATATTTTAAAATCCATGAAGGCAAGCAACAGGGTCTGCAGGCCAACCTGTGACTTCCCATCTCTGCCTACAGGTGTCAGTGTGAAGAACCGAAGAGAGAATGGGCTGGGAGCTGCAGACCCAAGATCAAGTTCTTGCAACATCATCTGTTGCGACAGTGGGTGTGTCCCCTTCCTCTCAGCCCCCTGGGTTTCAGTTTTCCTTCCTTATCTGTAAACGGGGAAAACTCGGATCTGCCCCGAAGGATTGTTGCCACAATCATATAAAAAATGACACAGCAGCCCTCGCTGATTTTGCTCAGTGGTTAGGGGTGTAGGCCCACGGACTGAAGAGTTTCCGGTTCGATTCCCAGTGAAAGGCACATATCTCGGTTGCAGGCTAGATCCACGGCAGGGGTCAGGGTCAGGGCACATGTGGGAGGCAACTAATGGATGTGACATCGATGTTTTTCTCTCTGCCCGCCCCTCCTTCCCTTCCACTCTTTTTAAAAATCAATGGATGGGGGGAGGGGGAAAAAAATCAATGGAGCCCTAGCTGGTTTAGCTCAGTGGATAGAGCATTGGCCTGCAGACTGAAGGGTTCTGGGTTCGATTCCAATCAAGGGCACAAGCCTGAGTTGCGGGCTTGATCCCCAGTGGGGGGCGTGCAGGAGGCAGCCGATCAATGGTTCTCTCTCATCATTGATGTTTCTCTCTCTCTCTCTCTCCCTCTCCCTTCCTCTCTGAAATCAATAAAAAATATATTAAAAAGGAAAAAAATTAAAAAAATAAATATCAATGGAAAAACATGCTTGGGTGAGGATTTAAAATAATAATAATTATAATAAAAGTCACCAGGCATTTAAAAAAAAAGACAAAGCCTGTGAAAATGTTGCCTAACCTAGAAGAGCCCTGATTTCACA